TTGAAGTCTCCCATTAACACCTTATATTGGGTTTTGGAGAAATGCATGGCTCTAAAGATATCCTCATACATTTCCTCCACCTCCTCGTCGGGGAGTGCCGAGGTTGGTGCGTAAACCTGTATGACCTTCAGCGAATACCGTTTGGTGATTCTGAGTATAAGGTATGCAACCCTCGTCGACACATTCTCAATCTTTACAACGTTGTTAACGAGAGACTTGCGGTCGATAAATCCGACACCTCCTTGGGACTGATGGTCGCCCTCCCGGTGATAGAGCAAGTTGCCGGATTCGAGGATTACCGTGTCCTCCCCCTCTCTTCGGACTTCGGATAATCCTGTAATATGCCAGCGTAACTTGTCTATCTCTTCTTCCAGCTCCACGATCTTCTCATCAGTCCTCAGGGTGCGTGCGTTGTATGTTGCCAGGTTGAGTCGTCTTAGGTGGCAACCGAACCTCCACCGGAGATTCTTAGCACCCCCTACCCCGCCGTTACCATGGTCGCCATCGTAGCCAGGAATAGCGGGGCCGCCTGGGACTGGGGGCCGTGTCTTTGTTGTTCTAATCATTGGGGGTATTTGCCATAGTTGCCACTCTTGGCGAGCGGGTTGGCAACCGCAGTTTTACTTTTTACCGGGGTTATTATCAACCATATATTAATTTATACTATAATTACCCTTTTTATACAGTTTCAACCTAACAAAACATTTAAATTTAAGGATAGATGTACATGTCTATAGCCCACCCCATCTACTTAACATAAGGTGGACTGTGTGATCGTTTGTCACCATTATTCAGGGTTATTTTTCAAAGAGTAGCCAAATTTCATAATTAAGCTCATATAAATAAATAATGATATACCGATATTACAGGTTTTTAAAATAAGAGTTAATAAGGCTTCTAATTTTATTTTACGATTTATGGGCAACAACCCGTACACTGTTCCTGGGTGAGTGATTCGATTCACGTATTCGATTCTCAAGTTGTTGTCTACTTTATACTTTCTTAGTGACATGCTTACTACTAATGCTTAAGTTAATAACTACATGACGCGAATTATTATTCCAATTTACCCTTCACACTTTACGGGCTTAGAATCGTCATCTATATAAATAAAATGATAAAGGTTTGCAGTTATGCGCGTCACGGAAAAACTACTGGATAGCTTTCAATTAGGTTTTCTATGTTTTAGTTCTTAGATACTTGGACTTTATATAGAAAAAATATTTTGCGATATCTTTATTTAATTTAAAGTTATTAAAGTTTTAATAAACAACGTTTTTTATAAGCACTACGTGTTCAGTGAACATCCAATTATTGCTGGGTATGTGCCCATCAGGAAATGTAATAATAAGAAATATCCACCTTGGTTTTCCAACAACCTCATTTGCTTGTTGAGTGAATAGGAAAAAGCTCGTCAAAAGTATAAAAAAAATTAAAAATGGCTTAGATGAACTGGAATATAATATATTGAAAGAACGTAAGTTGACCATGATAAAAAATGCTACTGTAGATATATAAAAAAGTTGTCAGTAATGTTATAAAAAATCCAAAATACTTTTGGACTTATATTAAGAATACTACAACTATAATATAGCTGTAGCATGGCTATACCACGTCGAAAATTAACTTTTAATGAAAGTGGAATAAGCCAGTAATAATTTGGTAAGGGGCAGTATTATCGTATTCTTTGTCGTTTTAACCTCGTGACAGTCTACTTCTGGGCTGATTACCGTTAACAATAATATCTCAAAGGAGATGAACTTCGTTCCATACAAGCTTGGGCCCGGCGTAAACAAAGTTCAAATATATCTTATTTTGAAGATTTAAACATTTGTTATTTATGACAAAAAATCATATTTTTGTAGGGCCTGGGTTTTGTTTTTATTTCGTTTTATTATTTGTAGATTATGTAGTAAAATCACTTGTTCTTGGGATAAGTTGTTTCAATAAATTGAAAAGAACACAAAAGGATGCCGTTTTTTAGTTATTATTAAATAAAATACAACTCAAACTTTTGTAATTGTTTAATTATTTTATGCAATTTTTAATTAAATGTCATCTAGAAAAGTAGCCTGAGTCCGTACATTGTTTGTTCTATTCCTCTCAAAACCCAAGTAACACATTATTGTCATTATGTGGGCGCAACAACCTACTGACAGAGACAGAGAAAAGCCAAGGGTCAAGTTAAATTAATTCACGAAAATAAAAACACAAAATATATCCACAAATACAAACACAATGGCAAATCGCATGACAAGTTTAAACTATGGAGTGTAGAGTAGAAGGAGGACCATCTCTGTATATGAAAAGTGTCCCTAAAAACGTGTCCAATAAGGGTGGCGCTGCAGTAGCATAGGATAAATTAAAAAAGAAGCGCCAAAATTATTTAGAGTAAGATGGAGAAATAAATAAGGACCGATCAATCCGCTTGGTTTTGTACTACGTAAATAGTTGAGATTTCGTATATTGGCGTTTAACTAACTACTCTAGTCATGAAATATTTGAATTCAGCTGACTTTACTCCGTTCATAACAGCTATCTTCATATCGTAGTTTTTCAGACGCCAGCGCTATTGTGGTAGGTTTTGGAACCTCTATTTACAGTAAATAGTAGGACACTTTTTCAACCTTCGTTCCTTATAAGATGGTTCTCCTTCTACTCTACACTCCATAGTTTAAACTCGTTACCAAGAGTCTCCTTCGAAACAGGCAATGATCAACGACCATAGAGCCTATTCAATCGTGTCCGATATTATTCAAATATTATGTTTAGTTAAATAACGTAGCCTATTCAATTTATTTTCTAAATAGATTTCTTTTATTCAGTATTAATCTCTACAGATTCGCCTCAATGTTTCAATATGAGTTTTTTTTGATACTGAAGGCTATTTATTACAAAAAGTAGCCTTCATTATCTTATACCATAAACAGAATACATAAACATATTTAAAAACGTTTTGTTTTTGCTATGGTAAAAGCATTAGCTTTCGTTTTTCAGTTTTAAAAAATGTTTTTATGATTGTCCCATACACTACAGAAATAAAAACCATTTAATTATGCTTATAATTTATCGTTATATTACCTACATATTTTTGTACACCTGTTACGAACAATGTCAACAACCCAATTTCATCTCCTTTAGGAGTCTCTAAAATAGTCTCTTGTGGAAAGATGCTGTAATTATTCCGATCCATAAAGCGGGCGATAAAAGCAATGTAAATAACTATAGACGAGCAAGTTTTTTGCATTTATTACCTGTGCTTAAGCACTTTTAACTTCCGTGAACGCGGCAATAATTTTACTGCGGCGGTCTTCATAACTTTGGGCTTTTTTAACGTAAACACGGCTCTTTATTTAATCTCACAAATAAAAGTCTAACGGTGAAAGTTCCGGCGAGTTTGCAGGCCATACTCCATATTCACTATTTAAATTATCGCTCACTGCACTTGAATAGTTTGATTAGCTGTCAATTGTTCTTCGATTGTTAGTTACAGTACGTTAATTCAAGACTCAATTTCGCATAATCTTTGCGCATCACGTAAACTTTCATTGTTTAAAATTTATTGCCGCACGAAACGAAAATAAGCGGGAAGTTCCAGGGATGACCTGCAGGGTCAACCGTTTTTCAATTTTTTTATGTTTCTTTTACTTGGGGAAATGCCTACGACTACTCGGAGGATAAAGACGGGTTACGTTGGTCTCGCACCGACAAAAACCCCATGGTATTCCACCTGCGTCGCATATTGGCAGACTTTCGCACACTTCCGTGGCTCTACCAGGGCCGGCCGCCCCATGCTAGTCCTCGGGAAAGATTTCTCCTCCCCCTTTTCCTTCTCAGGTAAGGCACATCAGGAACACAAGGCGCGCCTTCTTTCGCAGCCTGTAACTCCACGTTGCGGATCTGGTTTCTGGCTCCACTGCCAACCAATTTTCGGCCGCGGAAAGGATATGGAGAGTACCGCATCGCAATACCGGCACTCCTCTCCCTCCGCGACCACACCACCACCACATCAATGGTGCGGCCCCGCCAGAGTCGCAGAAAATAGGGCGAGTGCCGCATCGTCATACTAACACTCCCCTTCCTCCACGACTCCGCCTTGGCTGCGGCAGTAGGGAGAGAAGATACCTCTCTAGCCGCAGCCCGCCAACACACATCCGAAATGGGCTCGCCAAGCGCTCTCGAAGTGGCCTCCTCAGGCCAGTCAAGTGGGTTCCTCTTTCACGGTTCCTTTGTTCACGGCGGGTGACGTGAACAAAGAGTACGATGTGAAGCCACGGCTACTACTATATAACACAATTTATAGGAAAATTATGGAAAATCTGTTTATATTCTTGAATTCAGTTATAAGAATTCGCTTTCTCGTGTGGTATCAAGGCATACTCTTTGGTAATGGACAGAAAGTGATAAGAAAGCTGAATTTCACTTGTAGGAGGATATAGTAATTTTCATCCATAAGTGAAGTAAAAGCTTAGAAATTAAATTAGAGATAAATAAACTAGTTCAAAATAGTGATCAAATTTACTGTAATTTATTATTTTATTTACGTTTCCAGTTTTGAGTTACATTTAACGTTTCAAGTTTTAGGTCATCGGGAAATTAATTGAACGGACAGGGAAACGAGATAATAAAAACGTGGTGAGAACTTGTTAAAAATATAAAAACGTTCCGTGGTTCTCCTAAGAGGCGATAGAGGGAAGCAAGCCAGGAGATGGGCAGTAACGGCTTTCTAATTACATCTAAAAAATAAATAACTGCGGTTGCTATCCCGCGCTGCTCATGCATATTTTCCAGACAATGTTCACAGTACTCGCGCCATTGTACTTTTTATACTTATTGTAAAGTCAGTGCTTGACCACAATCTCATCTGGTGGTTCGAATGTGTCTACAAACTTGGATTTCACCACGGATACTTATAAATCGGCTATTTCGCATGTTGAGGCTGTGCTCACGAGTTGTGTTGCTATGTATACGTAGCAACAATAGTTAACGTCGTGATACAGGTGGTGGTCGTGCGGGAGAGGGATCTGCTGCGGCTGGCGCTGGGCGGGCGGGCCCGCTTGGGCGAGCTGCGCGCGCGTCTTGCCGCCCTGCTGCAGGGACAAAACCTGCGCCTCCAGTTGCACGACGCACCACACTCCGCCTTCTACGATACCGCCGGGTGAGTACACAGTATACCTCCGGCTGCAGGAACAACACCTGCGCCTCCAGGTGCACGACGCACCGCACTCCGCCTTCTACGATACCGCCGGGTGAGGGCACACAGTATACCTCCAGTAGCAGGGACAACACCTGCGCCTCCAGCTGCACGACGCACCGCACTCCACCTTCTACGATACCGCCGGGTGAGGGCACACAGTATACCTCCAGTAGCAGGGACAACACCTGCGCCTCCAGCTGCACGACGCACCGCACTCCGCCTTCTACGATACCGCCGGGTGAGGGCACACAGTATACCTCCAGTAGCAGGGACAACACCTGCGCCTCCAGGTGCACGACGCACCGCACTCCGCCTTCTACGATACCGCCGGGTGAGGGCACACAGTATACCTCCAGTAGCAGGGACAACACCTGCGCCTCCAGCTGCACGACGCACCGCACTCCGCCTTCTACGATACCGCCGGGTGAGGGCACACAGTATACCTCCAGTAGCAGGGACAACACCTGCGCCTCCAGGTGCACGACGCACCGCACTCCGCCTTCTACGATACCGCCGGGTAAGGGCACACAGTATACCTCCAGTAGCAGGGACAACACCTGCGCCTCCAGCTGCACGACGCACCGCACTCCACCTTCTACGATACCGCCGGGTGAGGGCACACAGTATACCTCCAGTAGCAGGGACAACACCTGCGCCTCCAGGTGCACGACGCACCGCACTCCGCCTTCTACGATACCGCCGGGTAAGGGCACACAGTATACCTCCAGTAGCAGGGACAACACCTGCGCCTCCAGCTGCACGACGCACCGCACTCCGCCTTCTACGATACCGCCGGGTGAGGGCACACAGTATACCTCCAGTAGCAGGGACAACACCTGCGCCTCCAGGTGCACGACGCACCGCACTCCGCCTTCTACGATACCGCCGGGTAAGGGCACACAGTATACCTCCAGTAGCAGGGACAACACCTGCGCCTCCAGCTGCACGACGCACCGCACTCCACCTTCTACGATACCGCCGGGTGAGGGCACACAGTATACCTCCAGTAGCAGGGACAACACCTGCGCCTCCAGGTGCACGACGCACCGCACTCCGCCTTCTACGATACCGCCGGGTGAGGGCACACAGTATACCTCCAGTAGCAGGGACAACACCTGCGCCTCCAGGTGCACGACGCACCGCACTCCGCCTTCTACGATACCGCCGGGTGAGGGCACACAGTATACCTCCAGTAGCAGGGACAACACCTGCGCCTCCAGCTGCACGACGCACCGCACTCCGCCTTCTACGATACCGCCGGGTGAGGGCACACAGTATACCTCCAGTAGCAGGGACAACACCTGCGCCTCCAGGTGCACGACGCACCGCACTCCGCCTTCTACGATACCGCCGGGTAAGGGCACACAGTATACCTCCAGTAGCAGGGACAACACCTGCGCCTCCAGCTGCACGACGCACCGCACTCCACCTTCTACGATACCGCCGGGTGAGGGCACACAGTATACCTCCAGTAGCAGGGACAACACCTGCGCCTCCAGGTGCACGACGCACCGCACTCCGCCTTCTACGATACCGCCGGGTAAGGGCACACAGTATACCTCCAGTAGCAGGGACAACACCTGCGCCTCCAGCTGCACGACGCACCGCACTCCACCTTCTACGATACCGCCGGGTGAGGGCACACAGTATACCTCCAGTAGCAGGGACAACACCTGCGCCTCCAGCTGCACGACGCACCGCACTCCGCCTTCTACGATACCGCCGGGTAAGGGCACACAGTATACCTCCAGTAGCAGGGACAACACCTGCGCCTCCAGGTGCACGACGCACCGCACTCCGCCTTCTACGATACCGCCGGGTAAGGGCACACAGTATACCTCCAGTAGCAGGGACAACACCTGCGCCTCCAGCTGCACGACGCACCGCACTCCACCTTCTACGATACCGCCGGGTGAGGGCACACAGTATACCTCCAGTAGCAGGGACAACACCTGCGCCTCCAGGTGCACGACGCACCGCACTCCGCCTTCTACGATACCGCCGGGTAAGGGCACACAGTATACCTCCAGTAGCAGGGACAACACCTGCGCCTCCAGCTGCACGACGCACCGCACTCCGCCTTCTACGATACGAGATATAATAGCAATTTTATTCAATTAAGATTAAGATGTTGACTATTTTCGTTCTTCTTTTATATTTTATTGTGAATCGTTAGTAACTAGCAGAATTCAAGTCTCTCTCACTCTATAAGTAAATAGAACTGCACTGTCTCTGAGTGCGTTTATTCGTATCAAAACACGTAATGTTTTGGTACAAATAAACGTACGTACGTTACACACGTTGCATTTATGCGGAACCCTACCATAAATTCGAGATTGTCTTCGAATACTAGCATGAGGATTTCCGTTTTTTAGTACTGCATTCTTATTCCCATTCAATTTAATTACGTATGCGTTGTGTGAATGGTAATTTAGATGCAGATCTAATATAATAGTGGTATATAATAAAAAAAATTGTAAAATAAAATGAATGATTGTTGCTACATTTACAGACCATGCTTCCAATTCCGTAAAATGGACACTGGGGAGGCACTCACGCCTAAAGCGATGAAGGCGACAATTCGAAAACTCGATACCGAGTTCCAACAGATACTTGAAGAGTTCGAAGTTCGGAACATCACCGGCTGCGGTGCGACGCGCGTGAAACACACGCCCGCACAGCACGCGCTGCTGGGGCTGGCGGGCGCACTACCGCTCGCAGCACTTGTGGCGACGCTTGTACTGTGCTGCATGCATTCTAGCGGTGAGTGCACACACGCACACATTCACACATGCACACACGCACACATGCACACATGAACACACGCACAGATGCACACATGCACACACGCCCGTACAGCACGCGCTGCTGGGGCTGGCGGGCGCTCTACCGCTCGCAGCACTTGTGGCGACGCTTGTACTGTGCTGCATGCATTCTAGCGGTGAGTGCACACACGCACACATTCACACATGCACACATGCACACATGAACACACGCACAGATGCACACATGCACACACGCCCGTACAGCACGCGCTGCTGGGGCTGGCGGGCGCACTACCGCTCGCAGCACTTGTGGCGACGCTTGTACTGTGCTGCATGCATTCTAGCGGTGAGTGCACACACGCACACATTCACACATGCACACATGCACACATGAACACACGCACAGATGCACACATGCACACACGCCCGTACAGCACGCGCTGCTGGGGCTGGCGGGCGCACTACCGCTCGCAGCACTTGTGGCGACGCTTGTACTGTGCTGCATGCATTCTAGCGGTGAGTGCACACACGCACACATTCACACATGCACACATGCACACATGAACACACGCACAGATGCACACATGCACACACGCCCGTACAGCACGCGCTGCTGGGGCTGGCGGGCGCACTACCGCTCGCAGCACTTGTGGCGACGCTTGTACTGTGCTGCATGCATTCTAGCGGTGAGTGCACACACGCACACATTCACACATGCACACATGCACACATGAACACACGCACAGATGCACACATGCACACACGCCCGTACAGCACGCGCTGCTGGGGCTGGCGGGCGCACTACCGCTCGCAGCACTTGTGGCGACGCTTGTACTGTGCTGCATGCATTCTAGCGGTGAGTGCACACACGCACACATTCACACATGCACACACGCACACATGCACATATGAACACACGCACAGATGCACACATGTACACACGCCCGTACAGCACGCGCTGCTGGGGCTGGCGGGCGCACTACCGCTCGCAGCACTTGTGGCGACGCTTGTACTGTGCTGCATGCATTCTAGCGGTGAGTGCACACACGCACACATTCACACATGCACACACGCACACATGCACATATGAACACACGCACAGATGCACACATGCACACACGCCCGTACAGCACGCGCTGCTGGGGCTGGCGGGCGCACTACCGCTCGCAGCACTTGTGGCGACGCTTGTACTGTGCTGCATGCATTCTAGCGGTGAGTGCACACACGCACACATTCACACATGCACACACGCACACATGCACACATGAACACACGCACAGATGCACACATGCACACACGCCCGTACAGCACGCGCTGCTGGGGCTGGCGGGCGCACTACCGCTCGCAGCACTTGTGGCGACGCTTGTACTGTGCTGCATGCATTCTAGCGGTGAGTGCACACACGCACACATTCACACATGCACACACGCACACATGCACACATGAACACACGCACAGATGCACACATGCACACACGCCCGTACAGCACGCGCTGCTGGGGCTGGCGGGCGCACTACCGCTCGCAGCACTTGTGGCGACGCTTGTACTGTGCTGCATGCATCCTAGCGGTGAGTGCACAGACGCACACATGCACACACGCACACATGCACACACGCACACGTGCACACACGCCCGTACAGCACACGCTGCTGGAGCTTACGGGCCCACTACCGCCCGCAGCACTTTTGGCGACGCTTGTACTGTTCTGCATGCATTCTCGCGGTGAATGCACCCCGTCTTTGGTCTGAGTATTTTACATAAATTGTAAACGAGATGGTTTACAGTTTTTTGGAAGTAATAACATGTTTTTTATATCTTTTGTAGTCGCCTCTTACAATTTCTACTGGACCGGAATGGAATGATGCATTCCTTACACCCAGCTCATTCAGGCTGCTATTTGAACATCATCGTTTAGTTGAAAGGCTAGGCTGGTAACTGAAAGGCTAATTAAACTAGTTGGGTCTGACATATACATTACACACATCCACATAATCACTTACTTCGTATGTAAACGTATTTATTTTCATTACTAAATGCATAAGTTGCCATTATATAGGTAGCCTAAAATACCTACTGATAACCTCATTTTAAGCAACTGTGATGTGTTTATTTATGTATTGTATTCTTCCCGGAACAGCAAAGAGACGAGCCCGCTCGGGTCTGCTGAGTGCCCGGGAGGCAGCTAGTCACGTGTCAGCGCCGTCTCGTCTCTATGCAGAACCGCTATACTCAACCTGATTCAACCTTACTGCTTATAAACTAATTGGCTAAAATAATCCACTTCTTGGTTTGTAACCTGTAATAAAATTGTAATAAAAATTTCATCATTGAACTACAAACATCACAATATTGAAATTTTTATTACCGGTTTAGATTGCACGTTTTAATTTGTACACTTTTTATATGTAACTAATGATTGTACCAAAAACAAAGAATCCGTCCATTTACTTTATTTTTAATAATTTCATACAATTTTGTTATTTAAAAACAAATCATGTTATAATTTTAGAGGGTTTTATGGAGTTTATCATGGCAGTTATATTTTTGTGATGCTCCTATAATAGAAGAAAATATTGTTTCCAATATTTTTGTCAACAATGGTTTGACAAACGATTCATCAAATGTACAACATAAAAATAACGTTTAAAATAATAACATATTATGTTTTACAATAATTTATAATACTCATTCGATTATTGTTAAAATCTTTAAAAGTGTATTGTCAATTCCGGCTTCACACAGTTGTGATTCAACAATGTGATGAAGAGGTACAATGGCCAATCTCCTAACATGCTTGGACTGGTAAAATCTAAAATAAGGTAACCTGATAAAATATCTGTCAATTTAAAGATTACAAAGTACGGCATTCAGTATATTTTTAAAGTACGGAGAATCTAGTGCTTTATAGAATAGGTTTTTGAGATCATGTGGTATATTATTAATCTGTAAGATTTTAAAATTAAAGATTTTTCTTAGTTCAATAAATAACATAAGTTTATACGGTTGCCATTGTTTGCTATATAACTTTGATTGAAAAACAAAATCGATTAAGACTTTAGAAAAAGTATGGATATAACTCTTTTTTAACACAGATTAATTTTTATTAGATTATATACTCTTTGTTCTTTCATAAAACTGAGTAAAATACCGTTCTATACTCTTTGTTTAGGAACGTAAATAATTACAGATGCGTTCAATAATAATAGGATATTTAATACTGCGTTCTGATAAGCAAAGTTATATTTTTTAAAGACGATTATATAAGGTTTCTCAGCTTTTAAAAATAAACTGATAATATTCGTGAAAGAAATTGACAATATTCTCATTTTGGCGACAGTCTCATGTCGTTAATAATTTATGTTTTTTAATAGTCCAAAATGGCCATTGTTCTTTACAACTTAATAAAATAAACCTAATTTGTATTTGCTACCATTATTAAAGTACAATCTATTTATTATATACGAATACACTAAAAGGTAAGAATAACTTTGTGAAGGAAGCAGATAAGAACATTCAGTTAGTTTGAGCAGCATTTAGAAAGCTCCGTCAGGTTTTCTCGTCACCCATACGACAGTAAACAAAAAGCTTTCAATCAGTGTGTCCGAACTTTCTAATAGTGGCGTAATATTGGCACTTACGATACGGCTACTCCACAGCAAGCAATGGAACGAGCTGTGCTCGGAGTTTCTCTGGTGGATAAGATTTGAAATAAAGAAGTCCATCGTAGAACCAAGATTACTAACAAAGCCTTTCGTGTTTGTAAAATGAAATTAGGCCGTCACATCTTTCGTAGAAGTTACAACCGTTGGAATAGATATCCTAAGCAAACGTAATTAAGGACTTTGAATAGATAGAGCGATTGCGGCAATCTGCGCAAGGTTTAGTCGAAGACTGGGCTAAGTGACATGCCTTAGAACAGACCTGAAAACTGAATGATACTACAGATAAACGTCCTTCAAAGAATTCTTTAATAGTTGTAGGAACCGCATCAGAAGCCGTCACCATTACCATTACAGCCTATAAAAGTCCACTGCTGAACATAGCCCTCTACACAAATTGCCTCATAAGGAAGATATTATATTTGTCATGCTTAGCAGCCGGTTTGAAAAACCGCGGTTTTTTATAATTTTGACTTGTAATAAAGAAGACGCTGCTGCCCATTTTCTGTTTCAGTTTCAATGCCAATGGTACTGATGAGGTCATAACATAATGTTAAAATTTTATACGACTTAATTTAATTATTTCTATTGATGCATAAACGTGGGTAATACCAGGGTAGACCAGGTTGGGTAATTATTGCTGATGTGCTCAGTTAAAACAGGTTTTCTAATGTTCATATATTTACTTTGACTGCCTCTTTGGTATAATTGTCGTAAACGCGACTGCTGATCACGTGGTTATCCGGATCCCGGGCCGCGCCAGGATCAGTTATGGGTTTTCTTCGTAAGTAAGTTGGCGGTTTCACCCCCGTGCCTCGCAAAGCACGTATGCCATAGCACGTTGATTCTGCGCCTGTTTCTCCAGTCGTGTCAGATGGAATAGAGTGTGCCTCGTTAACACAGACACTCTTGCTATTTAATCCTCTCCATGCAGATAACTAGTCTCCGTTGAGACTGGCTCTGTGACCAGAATTCGATCTAGAGGATATTATTGCTATGACATTTATTTGAAACAAAATGGCGGAGCACTCTTTAATAAAAAATAAATTGGTGTTACATCCCTTTAAAAATAACAAGTAAAAAAAGAATGCTGGACATTCCGTACGCATTCATACTTTTGCGGGACTATTATTGTACTTTGCTTACAGTTAAGAGATTGTCTCGATGAATCCGGAAAAATTGGACGCCTTACTTATAAGTGTTATTCGGCGTATTATTTATTTGATCTTTTTAAAATTAAGACCTTCGAAGCTTTTTAACTACCTTCTAGAACTAGAACCTAGAAATTTAAAACTGCTAAGAACAGGCTTTTTTTTAACTGAAAGGATTGTAGAACAAAATGTTTTTCTTTAAATTATTTCACTTAAATCCGTGAAAGATACACTTTCAAAACTGATTAATATCACTTGCCAACGTTTAAATAGGGAACAATAAAAGAAATATATTTTTTGTACAAGTCTATGTCAAGTGACCATAATTCTAGTGTGATAATTATGTATAGTCTTAATTTATATTAATAACTCTAAGTCACAATAAAATTAAATATTATCAAATTATCATACGATTGAAAGATACTTGGTATTTATTATATTTTTTAAATAATGTACATAAGATAATAAATTATTGGTGTTTTTATGTTTTTGTTTTTATTTCTTAAATAGGTATAAGGACCTCAGTAAATCTATATTAAAATAATAAATTGGAAGAAATTTTTTTGTTTCCTTGTTTGCTTAAACACGCTAATATCTGGAACTACCAGTCCGATTTGAATTTATTTTTTTGTATATTATAGCCAGATGAGGAATAGTATAGGCTATCTAGTATTAGGCTACACATTTCAGCTAGCCTTAAATATTTTTGTTACATATTCAAGTCAGAAAAAAAGCGCTCCCAAAAAAATGTCCGCGATACCATATGCCTATCACTTATACATAAGCCACAATAAGGTGTTTTGCGACGAAAAATTATTTAAAATTAAAAACTAATTTAGGAGCGTTATTATTAGAACGAAATTAATAGGTAACGAACGAAAGTTACTTCATCATCAAAACAATTATATGAAGATAAGCTTTGCTCTTTATAGCATGATATTTGGACGTATAGCTTAAGAGATAATGAAAAATTAAAATAATTCAAAATACTGCTCGGCGCGCAAACTACGCATAAACTAACTGCAAGCTGCCCGATGAGAACCGAGGGAAGCCAGCAGTGAACGCTACTATAAGCGAGGTAAGTTTAAGGGGCTACTCCATGCGAACGACCTTGAGCATTTGACCGGCGCGCCGTTCGCTACAATATTAATACGAGTATATTGTAGCGAGCGGCTCGCCGGAAGAAATATGTAAGACGCCACCTATTGTACGAAAGTAGTATTATTTTTTCAACATCAATAAACTGTTTTATGGAAATACACATAGCGTACAAAGATAAATGTATTTTAATTTTTTTATTCTGTATATATTAGTTGCATTATATTAGAATTATGTATTTTCATATATTATCTAATTATGAAATTTTATAATTAATTATATAAACGGAAGCATTGAAAATTGTGAGTTTAAAAGATACCTATTCACTATAGGTAAATAAATAGATAACTCGGCTTTTGTACAAATATTTGGTGCAATAAAAAATATATAAATACAAAAATCAACAAGAAGTATAAGGGTTCAATCTTTCAATTTCAGTTGTAAAAAAACATAAATTGCACAAAGACAAACATCCAGACCCGGAACAATTATTTGTAGGCCATACAAATCTTGTTCCATGCGGGATTCGAACCCGCGGCCCCCAGCGCAACAACTGATTGCTAAGCCACTGCGCCACCATGAAGCTAATACAAAGACTAACTTTGTATTTGCTTCATGGTCGCCGGGTTATAGCTAAAGTGACCATACGTCCCGTTTTGAACGGGACTGTCCCTTTTCTCGGTCTCCTGTCCCATTGTCCCCAAAGAAAGCACCGGGACACAAAATTGGATGGAAGTATTCAAAGTCAACAATCTTCAACATAATTTTTTTTAATCGAATATATTTTATGTCTACCTGGTACGAATGCTCCGGTAGAAAGAGTATTTTTTTATTTTGCATAAATTGTGGACGTCTGAAAGAAACACTTACGGTTCCAGAGTTCTAAAGGCGATGTTGTTAACAAAGATAACAATAAAAAACTTGAGCAGAATTTTATTCTTATTTAAAATCATCACCAACTTTATTAAAGCAAATTTAATCCACTGACAAATGTAATTAATAATTAAAAAAAATATGTTGCATTTAATAATTACCGTCTATACCGAATATAATTTTATAGTGAACACTAATTGTATAAAGTTATAGTTTTTAGAGTATAAATAAACCCATGTCCTGTTATGAGTTAAAAAATAAATGGTCAGCTTAGTCTTTTTAGTTAAATTTAGTTTTAAAATTTTTTAGTTTATAGTAAAAAGTAGGTATATTAGTACTTTTTACCGAGATATAAGTATAGAACACCTTATGTACTCAATTATTTTTTGAAAAAGAAGAAAAAACAAGCAATAAATAATATACTATATTTTAGCAAAAAACTATAACTTAGTAATAC